TCCATCCATCCATCCATCCATCCATCCATCCATCCATCCATCCATCCATCCATCCATCCATCCATCCATCCATCCATCCATCCATCCATCCATCTATTCATGTTTTTCCACTTATCCATCAGGGTCACGGTGAGGTTGGTACCTATCTCCAGCTTATCTGTTGCAGGCCAGTAAGCTATATGCTAAAAGCAAATAAATTAAAGGCAAGAAAAGGCAAATTTATTTTGCAATTAAAAGTTTTTTACATCAACCAAACCATTAAATAGAAGGAAAATAGAAATAGAAGAAAAGCAGGTAAAGATGAAAACATGAAAGATTAAATCTTTATTTTTCATTATGTCTCTCCTAAAAGGAAATAAAAATAATATAAACTATAGTATTTTTCTCCTACTGGCTACCTTATTTCCTCCTGAGTTGTTTAGATTACATGATCGCTGCATGTGGCACCTGATATTGTAGTCCGCTTCTGATATAGAGCCACGGACTAAAGGTCTGGCAAGTTGCAACACAAAGAAACACTGATAAACAACAAAGAAGTTCTGTGCAGCCAAAAGTCCTTTGAGCTTCATCAACCTTTAACGTTTATTTTTGTACACACTTGTTTACAAAATGACAATAAAATCTGTCTATGCACTTATTTCCCCCTCAAAATGTTCTTGGCAAGCTTAGTTTTGTCTCTATGCATCTCTAGTAGAGATGAAAAACAGGTTAAATTGTTAACAGTTGGAAAAAAATAATCAACAGGATAATTTCTTTTCACTGTTAAGAGTTTAACCACCATGTTTGGGTCTACAGGCAGGCTCTTTGGACAGGCTCTTAACAGCTGTATAATGGTGGCTGAACTTGTGGACGAAAGGCTCACTGCCGGTTTATTCCTTATTTCTGAAAACGTGAAATGTTTAAGAAGCATCCTTTTGTTAGAATTACAAGATAAAACAAAAAAACAAACAAACAAAAAAAAACAATCATACAGAGGTAGGAATAATCCTAGCACAAGTGCAAGATTTCAAACCTCAGACTTTTTTTTTGTCCAAAAATGTAAATGTAGATGTTGTAAAACAGATTTACCTCTCTCATTTCAAATCCTGTTGAATCCAAACTTGCCAGATTTAGAAATAATTTTGCGCCTGACGCTTGGTCAGCTATTTAGAGCTCAAAATTAAGAGTGAAGTCTTTCTCAGAGTGAAAATTAACAATAAAGATTAAATTAAAATTGTCTGACACTTTAATCAGCTGATAGCATGTTTCTTCATGTTCTCCCTGGAGTGACGACATTCAGATTTCTTTCTTAAATTAGAGGTAAGAAAAACAAAAAAGGACATTCTGTTTCATTTGAGTCCATTTCCACCCTGCTGACATTTCATGCAGAGAAGCTACATTTTGTCACACATTGTGCAGTGCTTGAGATACTGTACTAAGTAAGGAATTTTTGAATGCACTATAGGGACATTTTAGCCCTTTGGGGGAAAGGGATGATTAATGCATGTATAGACGAGATGTAATAGAAGTCATCATCTTAAAAGTGGATAAAACTAAACACTAGAAATTCTGCAATTAAGACATTTATGAATTCTGAGAACCCCCCAAGGCAATATTAATAATTCTTAACTAATAAAAAATACTGGTGTCTTAAAGCATTATGATTTAATTTAATGAGAAGGATCA